AGAAATGAAGTTAACAAGCTTAATACCGAATGAGTTCATATTATAGCAGTATTAATGATAATGAGAACGACTAAACATTAGAAATATGGTTCTAAAGAGTATAAAGACAGAATATGAGTCAGTCACAACGTAGAACCTGATACATATGTACATCGTTTCAAGTCTCCATAAACCACTAGCGCAAAGATGAAATTGTCGGGCCAAATCTCAAAAAAGTAGAGGTAGTAACAGTACCAGTGGTAATAGGAAGGATTTGGGACTGGAGATACGACTCGAGAAAATAGAAATTAGTGAAATAAAGAAGAGGAAATTTAGAATCTCAGAATTTCGGGGAAGACAAAGAGTGGATGTATTTGCGTCACTGCAAACGGTCGTGAGCTATGTCATCCAAAGTGTCTAACCACTGATCACGATAATCAAGCCAAAGGGAAACTTAAATTCAAGATTTAGAGGAAGATAAACAGTAAGTGCATTTGGGCTAGTGTGACTGGTCCTCAACTGTTACTCGACATCTACAATTGATGATTGCGGCTATCTCGTGAAACTCGACCAGGTAGTCTGAACTTACCAACAGTTAATTATTTCATGAATTGATGCCAAGTCTTGGTTTAGGCGTCCCTATGTTTATTACAACCGACTCACAACTTGGCGATGCCCAGAATAAGTGAAGCACATTTGACCCAAGCTGAACAGATAAGCCTAGACACGGGAGAGATGCTGCTGCACTCCGGTCACGAAGAGGTAATAGCTCCACACATTGAAGGAGTTGCTCTGATGTTGTGCAAAGAAGCAAGAAATCCACCTGTACGATGGGAATCTCATGAATCCAGGATCACCAAAGCATCCTTCTAAAAAGGAATGGGATCACTATGAGTGAAATCCAGTGTTGTGCACCCACCAAAGAAAGCAACGACAACAATAAAGATCAGTTCTATGAGAGGCTACAATCAATCATAGCTAAGTGCTCAGGAAAAGACCTGACCATCCTAATGGGAAACCTAAACGCCAAAGTCGGAATGGACAACACTGGATATAAAGATATCACGGGATGACATGGACTGTGGGAAAGCAACAAAAATGGTGAGACATTTGCAAATTTATGTGAATTTCAAAATCGTTATAGGCGGCACAATATTACGAAACAAACACATACACACAGCTACATGATCCACACCGGATCACGCCACGGAGAACCAGATTGATCATATTTGCTTCACTCAAAAATTCAGAGGGACAATGGAACACGTGGGAACCAGGAGAGGAGCTGACGCAGCTTCAGATCACCACCTAGTTGTGGCCAAGATGAAACCGAAACTAAAGAAACCCTGGACAGCTGGAGAAACAGCAGTACAAAGGTTCAATACAACCTTCCTTTGACATACTGACAAACTAACAAATTCAAGATCATTCTCAACAATTGGTTCCAAGCCCTACAAGATCTACTCAAATAATGAGAAGAAACTACTGTGGAGAACAACTGCGAAGGGATCAAAGAAGCATTAACTTCAACGTGTCAGGAGGTTCTGAGCCGAAAGAAGCATCATCATAAGTAATGGATCTTTTTGGAAACCCTAGACAAGATTCAGGTAAGGAAGAACAAAAAGACTGCAATAAACAACAGCCGAATAAGAGCAGAGAAAGTCAAGGCACAAGCTGAATGCACAAGAGCAAACAAGCAAGTGAAGAGGAGCATTAGGGCCGACAAGCGGAAATATGTGGGAGACCTAACAACGACAGCGGAAAAAGCTGCAAGAGAAGGGAATATGACACGGCCATATGGCACAACGAAGAAACTAGCAGGGAAATTTAGTAAACCAGAGAGACCAGTCAAGGACAAAGAAGAAAAACAAATCACCGAGATTCAAGAACAGACGGGTGGAATACTTCGAGGAACTCTTGAATAGACCAGCCCCACTGAACCCTCCGGACATGGAAGCAGCACACACAGACATTCCCATAGATGTCACTCCACCAATGACGGAAGAAATCAGCATGGCCATCAGACAAATCAAAGAGTGAGAAAGCAGTAGGACCTAACAACATGCCGACTGAAGCAATGAATTCAGACATGCAAGTAACTGCAAGCATGCTCCACGTTCTATTTAGAAAGATTTGGGAGGACGAACATGTACCGATAGACATCAGTAAATATTGTGACTAAGGTATTGGCCCGTCAACGTTGGTTTTCGAAAGATGGATCGTTTGCTTGAACCATCATCTCGTCTACTTGTTAGCATATCTAAGAAGAGAAGCCGGTCATTCTTCTCCTCTTCACATCAAAGGCTGATGTGATTTTGCAGAGTGTTATGTCTATTCAATAAACAATCCATATCGTCTTCACAGATAACTAAGATGTCATCTTCATATCTCTTATAAACAGACATGTTTACCACTAGGTCTTTAGCTAGATTTGCAACGTGTGCTATGAACACGTCTGCTAATAATGGTCTAATGGACCAACCATAGCAACCAGCCGACCTGACAAAACTATTCACCTTCAAACATGAACTGGACGTTGTCAATACATAGTAGTGCTAAATCTTTAAGGATTTTTAAAGGAACAGGTAATTTTTTAAGGCTGTTCAAAGATATGTGGTCACATAATATATCAATAGTCGTTTTCAGAGGTATATTTGTGAACAGGGAATTCACGTCAAATGAACACATTGTCTTTCTCTTGATATTAATATCACTTAAATGATTGACCAACTCAAAAGAATCCTTCACAGAATACTTATATAAACGTGTTCCAACAGGATCCAGTAATTTAGCTCGGTTATGTGTAGGTGATCGACGCACTGATAAAATTGGGCGTAAACAAATGTTTGGTTTGTGAATTTTAGGTAATCCATGTAAATGACAATACTCAGAACCAATAGGCTTTAGGAAATTAAATTCCTACCTACCAATAATATTCATGTGTAACAGTTTCACTAGGTTTGAATTTATTCTTCCCTCTACTTTGCTAATACCTGCAAATTCACCATCAGGCATAAATTTACTTTCATCACTGAGAATCAATAATGTCTTACTTTTACATTCACATTTGTTCTTGACAATCACGCCTGATCTTTTATCAGGCTTTAACAAGACAATATCAGAGTTTGTTCGTACGTATTTTAGTGATTTAAAATACTGAATAGTTAATATGCTTCTCTGCTTTGGTCCATGATTAAGGAATTGGTGGGCTATACCCAACAGTTTACATTGGTCTCAGCTTTGATTATTGAAAGACGTAGGGGTTAGCGTACTCAGTTGATCCAGTATCCGACACTGGATGTCAATTAGTCAAGTAAGAACAGGTGAAATACCACATCCACATAAAAAGTAATTCATGCCCTCTGCTAAACCAACAAATTCGAACGTGACACCGATATATATTCATCAAATAAATATTCATCATTAAATATTTCGCTTTCATTCACTTTCATTACTAACATGATTGTCTGTGGATTCGAAATGGTCTAATGATTTATCAAGAATAATCTGACGAATCTTCGGGCAGTGGAGGTGAAAGATGCAGAAGCACTTACCAACATGCAGACCTACTACACTTATTTCGATCACATTGTCTGACATGCCCTGATCCAGCAGACTTTGAAAGTAAACTTCTTTTTGATACTTAACTATAAAAAACATAGACGAGAATTTGATAACTAGTTTCGGAACTATGCAATTTGTCACCAAGAGAGTGTAATATTACAGAGCCAGTAAGAATATGTACGAGTAAACAATTATGTGATTCTGTTTTCTACAATATCAACACTATACTCAAAGTATCCACTTTAAATTTCCAAACAGAATAATCTGACGAAGCTTCGAGCAGTGGCGGTTGCCGAAGAGTTGAACCGGGTGCTGCCTTAACTGGAATAACCGGAGGTTCGTCTAGGTTTTCGTTGCGTTTTTCCGTAAACGTCTTCATCACCAGTTGTAACATGTTATTTATTTATTTATTATTTATTTATTTGAACACATAAATATTGGTACAAGAGAGCGCCAATATATATGCGCCACACAAAACAATGGGAATTCGAAGAGAAGAAGAAAAAAAAAAAAACTAAGGAACGCAAAAGAAAAAGAGAGTAATGACGATAAGGTACAATCAGAAGAAATCTTTCAGGTAAAGGAGACACAACCACTTTTTATGAAGAAAGTAAAAGAAGCTTACAGCAGGATCGCCACTGGCTTCTATTCTGAGCCATATCTGATAACGTCTCTAGCCACTGTGTAGCACCATCTCTCGGACCCCAGCCAGGGAGTCGTGAAGGACCAACACAAGCCAGTCCTTTGCAGCTTTCTTTCATGCCACGACACCATGTCATGCACTGACCACCTCTCCGCTTCTTCCAACCAGTCCCAGAGTCGGCAAATAATGCACGACGTGGAATTCTCTGGGACGACATTCGGAGAACATGTCCAAGCCACCGAAGTCGGTGTTTCAAGATGGTGACACCAATTGAGTTATCATCTCTGTGCCCGAACACACGATGCCGAACCTCTGCATTACTGACATGGTGAGTTGTAACATGTATAATCAGCAGTCACTGAAAGTCACAGCATATCTACGCAAAGTTCCAATGTCTGAACGCTTTGACTACCTCGTACCCTACTTGAGTTATGAAGCAGTAAGAAGAGCTACAGCCAATGGCTTTGCGACAAGTAACACACTTGCGCGAAATTGGAGAGTCCTAGACGACGGTTTTTCCATACCCGTGGACACCCAGCAGGTGACGATCCAGTTCTTATCACGTGACCAGAAAGCAAGCGAGAATCTGATCGACTACCTTAACTCTTTGCAGCAGATAGCAGTGCAGGCATTTCCTAGTCTAGATATCATTGGACGAGAGTAATTAATATGCCCGCATTTCGTCGAAGGGCTGGTGCCGGGTTCACTAAGTGAACACTTTCTCCGAAGCCCACCAGTTGATACAGCTGACTTGAAAAGAACAGTACTCCGTCTCCTGGCTGAAGACAAACTAGCGAATTCATGAGATGCACACCTACCATCGGTGATGACTGCGGAGGAAGCCACAGAATCTAGTTGCCTGGACAGTTACCAGAGGGCAACGGCTGTTACAGACTTTTCTAGCCGGGGTACCAGTCGCGGACAGTCAAGCTCGAGGTGCAGTAGATGGTCATCATGGAACAACTACCATGGCCATCAAGCTCAATGCATATACTGCAAGAGGTTTGGCAGGAATGCTGAGAGATGCGGCCATAACCGTTCCCATAACCCAGGTAAGCCGCGTCTTTATTATTTATCTTCTTCTCATGTTGATCATGTCTGCCCGATTACGGTTAGAGGTAGAGTGCAAGGCGTTGAGATAGAAATACTACTAGACACGGGAGCTTCGGTATCTCTTATCAAGGAAGAGCTCTTGAGGAAACTGAACTATAAAACTCAGCAAAATCGGTGTCTCTCTAGGTTAATCACAGCATGTGGCGATCCTTTGAAACTGTGCTCTAAGGTGTGGTTAGACCTCACGATAGAAAAGCATCAGTTTCGGCACGAATTTTTAGTTTCTTCTGCATTAACTTGGGACATGATTCTAGGCGTTGATTTCATGTTAAAACACCAAGTCTCTATATTCATGGATAGGTCATAAGCAAATATTGGTGAGGCTATGGTACACCTGCACCACTATGAGATGCCAACTAAGTCTATAGCCCATGTGAGGATTTCAGAACTTGTACGTCAAGTACATAGCAATCAAATAATAACAGAAAATGATCACCGCGCAACGATTGCTATGTTCCAGCAGTTAAGTTCTGTGTTTGAAGAAGGTATTTCCGGAAATCGGACGACTATAGTGCAACACATTCTTCACAGGTGACCATATGCCACTTCGACAGCCACCTCGTCAGGTACCAGTGCACTACCAACCACAACTGGATGCAATGATAAGAGATATGGTAGACAAAAACATTACAGTCCCTTCATCCTCTCCCTGGGTGTCACCTATTGTTCTAGTGAAAAAGACTCCTCTCCACGTAGATTATCGACGCCTTAATGCCGTAAATAAACGTGATCCCTTTCCGCTTCCGTTGATCGATGCTACATTAGACACCTTAAAACGCGCAAGTTGGTTTTCGGCATTGAACCTAGCGTCTGAGTACTGGCAAGTGGAAGTCCGACCGCAAGATAGGAAGAAAGCGGCATTTATAAAACCAAATGGTTTATATGGATTTCAAGTGATGCCTTTTTGTTTAACGAGTGCTCCGGCTACTTTTAAGTGACTAATGCAAACAATTTTACAAGACAGTAGCCCAGAAAAGTCTGATTTACCTTGATGGCATTATTGTGCATGGTATCGCACCCGAACAACACAATACTAGTCTGAAAGCAGTTCTTCAGAGCATAAACAACAAAATTTTAAAAACCGTCACTGTTTTACTCTTGTGATTTGTTGCATGGTGTTCTCCACCTTTCAGTGACTGTCGATTATACGTGTTAAAACTGTTTGTTAGGGCAATCACTAATTCTGGTCTCTTAAGAAGAAATATTTTTCCACGGTGTGAGCAACCAGGAAGTGACAACCGCCCCTCAGCACTCGAGATCATCCTGTTGGCGATCGAATCCCTCCCTCACCTCTTAATATTTCTTCCATCCCCACAACTAACCCTTATTTATCTTTGTCACCACGCGCCACCTATGCTAATGATTTGAGTTTACGAAATTTTATTCCTGGTTTCCTGAAACCACGCTCCAAACTATGTATTGGAGCTTTTGATGTTCGAACCTTGTGTCAAATTGGAGAACAGGTTTCTTCAGTTAGGATTGTAGAATCTCGCGCCATCGATTTATTCTGCATCTTCGAAACGCGCATACAGGCTCCAAGCGCGGTCATTCATTTAACTTCATCTTGTCGACACAAAGAACCGGCACGACTTACTCTTTTAGCATCTGGAGACCCCACTGCTACTTCCGGGGCTTCGCTGATGCAGGTATAGCGTTAAGTTCTAAAGTAGTACAGTTTTTGTTAGACTGGATTTCAATAGATAATCGCTTGTGCTCTGTTCGACTAAACAGAACAGTAAGAACTCGAGAAGGTAGGTCCACACACCGTTGCCTTTTCGTTGTCTCTGCCTACCCTTCCACTGATTGCAGCTCGAATAAAGTTGTGGGAAGCTACCCAACCTCCCTCAAAGAGCTAAACACTCTGGTTTAGCAACAATGGCAGGTGATTTTGATGCTCAGGTAAGTAAACTCAACAAACCGAAAGGCACTTGGGCAGATTTTACGGTGTTGCGGCTCAGAGAACAGATAATGGCAACCGTCTTGCAATTATGCTCAGATAACCGTCTATTTCTGGCAAACACCAACTTTAAGCATAAGGAGAAACGTCGTCTGACGTGGCGACCTCCGCGATCGACTCAAGTAAATCACATTGCCATTAGCCATCGTTGGAGTGGCTCGATTGAAGAGTCTCATTCTGGAGCACATGATTAGACTCGGATCATGTCCTAGTTTGAGTACGTATTTGTCTGTATCTCACTGGACGTAGAAAAGTCAGGAAGAAAACTCCTTATAGTTCAACTCAATGATGGGGAAATTAAGATTGTATTTCAGGAGCCATTAGAGGAGTTGTTCAACCGTGAAAGTGGTATCCAATCTGATGTAGCTTGATGTGATATCCAAAAGCAGCGATACCTACTAGTAACCTAAACCAAAGGGTTAAGAAAAATTAGTGGATTTCGGTGGCGTCTACAGAACTGATAGATGCTTACAAACTCATCCTGTCTGGCTCTGAATCACAATTCTGAAGGCCAACACATCATAACAAAGAAAAACTGTTAAGCATCAACGATATAATTAATTATTGCAACAGCAATCAAATTAAAAAGTAGTTATCAAATCATAAAAATACATAAGGAGGAAAATAAATTTTAAGTAAAAAGCAAAAGTACCGTAAAAAATAATAAATAAATAAATGAGAAATGAATTTTTCTGGGTAGTCATTATTAATGACATAGAAACCTTTTGATTCAACCAATCAGAGAGAGGGGATTCAGAGAAATAATTTACACCCTGTAAGATGCTAATTCTAGACAAAAGATAACGATTATTCGGAATCAACCTCCTCTTTATCACAAATTACTTTATAGGTACCTAAATTAAACAATAAATGTTTGTGAATCTTATTTATCTTATGATTATTATTAGTATCGAGCAGCAAATTTCACCTGTCAAACTGATTAGGTTATCAGGATCAGTTATATGAGAAAATAGTGAAAGCTGAATTTTAATCAAATGAAAGATATCAAAAGTAAAAACATGAAATGAGGAGAGCAGTGATGAGACTGGAAGACAAAAACACTAAATGTTATGGTCTCTTGATAGTTTATTTGAACTAGAAAGGCTGAAACAATTATGAGAATTGTATTGCTGTTTTCGTATTTTATGTCATGAGTACTTTAAATACTTTACGGTTTCATAAAACTCAGGTCACAGCTTGTTATTTAGCGACACAAACCTCAATGTGACGAAAAATTACATAATTAATGGCAAAATAGGTTTCATTGAGTGAAGAAAGTTAATCAGATGCTTCGTCACTTGCTTCTTCATTTGGAAAAACATGCTTACTGTTTTGAATATAACGATTAGATTGAGCTAGCATTGAAGTATCTCCCTGAAGTGATGAACAAGACGAACGCTTATGACGAATCCGGCTATTATGTCCCTTTATCGAAGTGTTGTTACCACGGGACTCTATATTTTCATTGGTTTTATTCGTACCATTAAAGCATATTGTTCTTTTAGAGTCTGGATTTGGATTATAAACTCCCGGAGTAAATGAGTCACCATTGTCAACGCGTTGTCCAATCATATTTACATAAGCATTGAATTCTTCAGACATCTGAGCATACACTTGATGTCCGGCTCCTTCGATTACCTAAAATATGGGTATTCAGATTACTTCCTGTAAGATTGATACCATAATAAAAATCTAACAAAAATAAACAATCACTTTATTAAATAGACGGGTGATTTTGAAACAACATATGTTAAAAGTATTTAGGAGTACAGGTGATATAACTGATAAAATTAATTAACTGTGATACTTGAAATGATGCATGAAGTCAGAACGAAGTGATCGAAAAAATCTAGGAATTAAAACTCATTTGTATACTAAAATAGCCGCTTATGTTAGATAATAAATAATTATTCAAAGAAGAAATCAAAAATTAACTAATACTATTTCGCGTTTGCCCGTTGTAGCGATGATTATGTAAGGGAAAAACAACTTATTTGAATGTCAGTCAGTCAGTCAGTCAGTAACAACGTAGAACTTCGTACGTACGTACATCAGTTCGAGTTGCCACACCACATTAGCACAGAGATGCACTTGTCGATTCAAATCCCGTAGTGGTAGAGGTAATCAGAGTATAAGCAGTAATCGGGAAGATTAGGGTTTGGAGATGTTATTTAAAGAGTAAAATCCAGTGAAAGAAATTTGGAAAGAGGAAAAAAGGGACATGAAGAATTCAGAAGATTAGAATTTGGGAGAACACAGAGAGTGGATGCACCTGCGCCATTGCAAACGATTTTGAGCCATGTCATTCAGGGTCTCTAACCATCGGTTGCTGTCATCTCGCGGTCCCCAACCAGGTAGTCTACACCTACCAACATGACTCAGTTCACTTGTCAGTGACTTCATGGACTTGTGCCATGTTTTGGTTTGGCCGCCCCTAGCTTTCTTCCAACCTACTCCTATACCACTGAACATAGCACGTCGAGGCAGTCGGTCGTTGGGCATACGTAACACGTGTCCCAGCCATCTCAACTGATGAAGTTTCACTACTTCATCAATTGATTTGCCATCCTTACCTAGTACCCGTTTCCTAACAACTGTGTTACTTACTCGATGGTCCCATGATATATGAGCAATGTTTCGAAGACACCTATGATCAAATACTAGTAACCTACGGATATCCTCTACTCTTACCGGCCATGTTTCACTCCCATAAAGTAGGACGGAACGAACTGCTGCGCAGTAAACACGTCCTTTGGTTGATAGACGGATATCTCGCCTACGCCATAAATGACGCAAGTTGGCAAAAGCTAGTCGAGCCTTCTGTATCCGTGCTGAGATTTCGTCACACACTAAACCACAAGGGCTGATGAGACTTCCAAGATAAGTGAAGCGGTCGACACACTCAACTACTTCACTCCCTATCACTAGTTCGGGTGTCGATGTAACCCAATCCTGAAGCAACATTTTGCATTTCGAGGGAGAGAATCGCATCCCGAACATGCTTGCATTGTTGCTTAGAGTGGCCAGAAGACTCTGCATTTTGTCAGTGTCTTCACCAAATAAAACGATGTCATCAGCATATTCTAAGTCAACAAGTGAACCTCCTGGTAGAAGTTCAACCCCTGTAAATTTAGATGAGGAGAGTGTTATCTCTAAAAGTACGTCAATGACAAAGTTGAACAAGAATGGGGAGAGTGGACAGCCCTGACGAACACCACTTGAGGTGATCAATTCTGATGACAGTTCGCCATAAGCTCTCACTCGACCAGTTGTGTTCGAGTAGAGAGCCTTTATAAGGTTAATGTACTTCTTTGGTACTCCTTTCAGTGACAAACACTGCCATAGAACCTCACGATCAATCGAGTCGAATGCCGCCTTAAGGTCGAGAAATACTACCATTGTGGGGCGTCTGAATGTGTGTCTGTGTTCTAGAACCTGACGTAGTGTGAATATCTGATCTATACAACCACGTCCAGGTCGAAAACCAGCCTGGTTTTCTCTAGTCTGCTCTTCACGAGCTTTAGTTAGGCGTCGAAGTATTATTGAAGCTAATATTTTAGACACTATATTAGTCAAACTGATTCCTCTGTGATTGTCACAAGAGGACTTTTGTCCTTTCTTAAAAACTGGCACAATCAGTGATTGAGACCAGTCAGATGGGATTACGTCCAGTTCCCAAATTCTACCTAAGACCTCGGTTAATCTCATTGCTAATACTGGACCACCATCCTTAAAAATCTCAGGAGTAAACCTGTCAGGGCCTGCTGCTCTCCCTCGTTTCAGATTTCCTATGGCTTTTTCAACTTCGTAAAGGGACGGAGGACCTACATTAACTTGCCATTCAGGTTGACTGGAGATCGTGGGAAACCGAAGTGTGGCTGAAGGCCAGTTGAACTGATCCCTAAAGTGTTCTGCCCATCGATCCAATCTCCTGGATTGAGAATGAATAATATGTCCATCTTTCTCTGAGATTGTTTCGCTAACGGTCGGGTTCCTAATTCCGGTTTCCTTAACGAGTCTGAACAATTGTCTGCTATTACCTATTGCCGCTGCCTTTTCCATCTCTCTTGCTTTCGCTACCCACCACTGTTCGCGATCATTGCGTAGACTTCTTGTCAGCTTGCGCTTAAGCTGACTCCGCTCTTCATTATGTTCAGAGCCAGGTGGAATGTGTTTCCGAGCATCTATCAGTGAGATAGATGCTGCTGAGATCCAGTGTTGCTCCCTAACCTTCTGGTTTACCTTACTAGCAGATATCACTGCTGTTTCCACAGCTTTTCGGATATCATTCCATGCTGCATCGGGGTGGGCATCACATACATGGCTGCCTAACTGTTTTCCTAGTTGTTCCTGAAATATACTCTTAGCTTGACTATCATTAAGTAGGGCCCTAAGAGGTTTCCTTGCAGCGTCTTTCCTACGTCCAGTAAGACGCAAGCAAATACGCGCTCGCACTAGAGCATGATCTGAATCTAGGCATGTGCTCCAGAATGAGCGACAGTCTTCTATCGAGCCCCTCCATCGGTGGCTGATAGCGATGTGATCCAGTTGGGTCCAACGTTGGGACGAATTAGGGGGTCGCCATGTTAAAAGATGTTTTTCCTTATGCTTAAAGTTAGTATTTGCAAGGAACAGGCGGTTATCTGAGCATAGCTGCAACAGACGGTCGCCATTATCTGTTCTTTGAGCCACGACACCATAAGATCCACCTAGGTGTCTTTCCTTATCACTTAGTTTGCCTACTTGAGCATTAAAGTCACCGGCCACTATTACTACATCCGAGCGCCTAGCTTTTCGGAGAAGGTCCGAAAGCTTTCTGTAAAACTCATCTTTTACATCATCTGAGCTGCAGTCAGTGGGAGAATAGGCAGAGACGACGAAGAGGCAACGACGAGTGTCCCTATCTTTCCGGATTCTTACTGTTCCGTTCAGTCGGACAGCGCACAAACGACTGTCTATTGGGATCCACTCTAAGAGAGCTAGTTCTGCCCTAGGACTCAATGCTATACCTACGCCGGCGAGGCCACGGGAAGCAGAATCAGGGCTTCCAGATACACGAAGCGTAAATCGAGTCGGTTCTTTATTTTGGCATGGTGAGGTCAAATGAATGACGCTACTTGGATCCTGTATGCGCGTTTCGGAGACGCAGCACACATCGATGGCGCGAGATTCTAAAGTTTTAGCTAAGGAAGCCTGCTGTCCTATTTGGCAAAGTGTTCGTACGTTAAAAGCTCCTACGTGTAGTTTAGAGCGTGGTTTCAGGAGACCAGGAATGGCGTTCCACGTACTCGAATCGTTTGCCCTAGCGGTGCGAGGTGATAAAGAGACGTGAGGAGGGTTAGTCGGGAGGATAAGAGGAGTATTAGGAGGTGTAGGAAGGATTTGAATGTGACCACCTTGGTCTCTTGTGCTGTTACGGGTATGAGGGCTGATGTCACTTCCCGGCTGCCCACACCGTGGAAGGGTATTTCTTGAGGAACCTGAAAAGGAAATTGGATTAGTGTTGGTCTTGACGACCTGGGAGCGTGACCGCAGAGCCCAAGGGACAACTGCTTGAGGCCGGTCGCGCACGGCCTTTTTGTGGAAGGTTTTTGACGTGTTAGCTCCGTTCTTCAAGGGGCCTTACCGCCGGAGACGGAAATCCGTGAGGTAAGGTGAGGTGTGTCATTTTTAGGGTCGACCTTTTCTAACCCCACCCCTCCTTGTGGGAAGGCAGCATCGCTGTCATGCTGGTTGTCCGAGGGAATGTAACGCAACCTTATCTTAAAAATGTAATCTTCCATCCACATATTAACGAAATTATGGAATTGAAATGATAAGGCTACTTTTGTTGAGTATCAATATATATTTTACACATTAAAAAAGTCTACATATAAATTATGCTAATACATTGAAGTATGACGCTTAGCGCAAGGATGGTCATGGATTGTTCATAGGTCTAAGCAGATACGTTAAAATTTAAACGCTAAGAACTGTCTAAGTAAAGATTAATATATATACTTGAATTTTTTTAAAGTATTCCACAATTAATCAGGAAATGTGGATGTACATGTTTGTGAAATTCCATCTCATAACTTACAACCATTTACGCAATATATATTTACGACGACAATAATGATTAACTATTGACTAGAAATAATCCAATTTAATAAGGTACACCCTAGTCAGTAACAAAAAAATGTAAGTCTTGTTTGTTTTTAAAAAAGACAGGACTAGTTACTGTAATTGCTTTATATGCACTTCTATACTTATAGATATGAAGAAAAAATGAGAAATTAAAATACCTCAAAAGCCACATTCGTTAGGGTGTGAACCACACCAATAATGAGATATTATTGAAGTCCCAACAATAAATTAGGTAACATTAATTTAATTCAACAGACAAATAACGACTGAGTAAGGCCTAAACAGAAGCCGTCCAACTTAGAATAAATGAAATGAAAAGCTTCATTTAGAGGGACAAGTTTTTAAAAGAACTCCATTAAAAGTCTTAACTAAACTATCTGGAACATCATCATTTAGTGAATAAACACGAAGGTAATAACCATATTTGAATCATAAATTGGATCGTAATCATACAAAATTACCAGTTCAACACTGCTATTTCAGCTACAACATATCATAGCTCAGTCAAGTAA